AGTCCAAAAGGTCCAGCTGCACCAAACACCCTAGCTTTTCAGATTAGCTTCAGCTTTCGAGAAGCCAAAGAAGCTTCCACCTTTTGAAAATTGAGAAGTAAGGAATTCGAAGCTTTTGCGGAAGCTTCCGATTCCTTTTAATGAAATTGACATATTATACCTATTTTACCCTTATATATTAATAAATTTACCACTAAACCACTATATATACCTCCTCATTTATAACCCAAACCCGTTTTTTCTTTAACTCTCATCTTCTCCATCTGCCGATTTCCTTTGTTCCAGTTTCGAAGCCGTTGCGTCCATCTCCTTCTTTCGGTCTCTTTTCTTCTTCATTCTCTGCTTGTTGGTTGGTAGTGTAAGTTGGTGAAAGTTTTAATTTTTAATCCCTTCTCGTTCCTTGTCTTCTTGCAGATCTGGGCCAAGCGACGAAGCGGCATGGGTCGGTGAAGCCGAACGAAGCGGCAATACCGGAGGGGAGTGAAGCGGAGGGTGTTCCGGCCACGAGACTTGACAAGAACTTTGGATTCTCGAAGCATTTTGGGAGCAAGTGCGAGCTCGGGGAGGAAGTTCAGAGAGGCCATTTTGGTTATACCTGCTCAGCCAAGTTCAAGAAAGGGGAACTCAAAGGACAACAAGTTGATGTTAAGGTTATACCCAAAGCGAAGGTAAGCTTGTAGTTCATTATTTTGGGTGCTTACTGCTTAGTATATGTGGGTGGAGGAGCCAAAGGCTGCTTGAGGAAAATCAAGCTCAGATTCCAGGGAAGTAAGCAAGACTTGATTTCACCTATCATGGGTTTTGATTGTTCGGAAATAGGATTTTGAATTGAGTAGATTTGATGCCTTATTGTTTACTTCACCCATAATTATGATGATATATATTTTATGCGAAAGCCAAAAGGAATTCTATTTTTGGTTATTTGTCTAGTTGTTGTTCAATTCAATGTATGTTATAGAACCTATTTCTCTTTGTTTGTTTTAAGGTTAAAATGTCTGAAACTAGGACTTGTGTAATTAATTTGCAGAAAAGTATGTGAATTGAGTTTATTAGACAGTGGCAGTCAAGGTTCTACAGGGTCATTATCTAATTTAAATGGTTCAAAATGTTCTGTAGTGTGGTCTTGTGGACAACATTCCGAACCTTTGGACTCAACCAAGATACCTGAATCTATGGGCAGCAAGCAAAATGTGAGCACACACTCAATTTCTGATGGACTTAGTGAAGCAATGGATTGTTAGAGGAGCAAAAGGAGAGGATTAGGTTGTCACAAGTTGGTAGGAAAAAGGACTTTGTTCATATGGAGGGGATATAGGGGCAAAACATTAATGTGGTTCAAGGACTCGAGCTTCATATTGGGGTTTCAATGCTGAGGAGCAAAAGAAGATTGCGGAATGTATCTCTGATCCACAACGAATGGGCTGGAAAGGACAGCTTAGAGGTAAAGTCCATGTGAAGTCATA